CATCATTTTCAAGGGTAGACATCAAGAATCCAACGGCGTTTATTTTACAAATCCCATGCTGCTGTTGTTGTTGTTGTTGTTGTTGTTGTTGTTGTTGTGTTATACATGCAACAAAAGGATGATACAGCACACATGGTAATATGTCCCCCAGTCTTTATCTATTAGGTTGTATTTAGAAAAGGATGGATTCTTTGAAAATCTGGTAACTGATTATTTTATTACCGGTTATTTGTTGATTAATTTTCTGATTTCTGAAGATTAGATTACATCTTCCCTATGCATAAAGTGAGACCATCATTCACCTTATTTAGTTCAACTAGAAGTCAAAACCCACAAAATATTCAGTTTGCAATTTTAGGTGGCAGGAAGGCAGCAAATCCTCTTTTTTTTATCGCCTGGGACAAGAGAGCTATTGTCATATCTTCACAATTTTCTCTTAAAAATCCATATTTTTCAAAATAGAAATACTTCTGCTTCGCCTCTCCTCGATTGATTGTTTTAGAAGTAATTACTATTCACCAAATCAACAATTCGATACAGTTTATCAAATAAAGACCTTCAAACTTATCTGTGCTTAATTTGTAACGACCTTGTTTAAAAATAAGCCGATGCGTTTTTCACAAGTGCTTTACAAAAGTCAACACAGAGAAAAGATCAGAGTTATATAAAAACTCAGGGCATCTGAAAGGAAGTGCAGGGCGAAGGATTTTATTGACTTAATATGAATAAAGGAAGCGTTATGAATAGAATACAATACTTTATTGTCATTTCACAACAGTGAGAGCAAACTGGAGAACATCATTCAGTGGAGGAGGTGAAAAACAAAAACAGCCTCCTCCACTGTAAGATACAACGGCACACAAAGTGACTGTACTCTCCCCTGTCTTATAATTTAAGAAGATGCAAGAAGATACTGTATGAGGATTTGAACTCTGATTCTTCTTCCTGATATTGAGTTTTAGAGCAAATATTCAATAAAAGCACAAAAAATCTGTGTTTGAAGTTTTGTGTGTTTTCTATATTTGATATTATTTGTAGATGTTTTAATGTTTCCAGTTGTGTTCTGACATTATTCATCACGTCGCAGTGGTCATTTTTGTGATCAAGACTCAGGTTAAATGTGAATCCTGATTGTCTATTCTTTCCGTTTTCTGTGCATCTTTGTTCTGTTCTGCTGCATCACCCCTTTTTGTGTGCAGTGTGTCTAATTGTCCAGTTGTTGTTTCCTATTTGTTTCTGCGAGATCTTCGTGTCTCATGTTCAGCAATGCATGGACATGTACTGTGTGTGTGTGTGTGTGTGTGTGTGTGTGTGTGTGTGTGTGTGTGTGTGTGTGTGTGTGTGTGTGTCTGTTGCATAAGAGGATCTGCTGCTGTCCCAGAGCTTAACTAAGGATTTGGACCTCTCTTCCTCACTCTCTCCTGCTCTCTCTTTCTCTCTCTCTCTCTGTCTCTCTCTCTCTCTTTCTCTCTCTCTCTCTCTCTCTCTCTCTCTCTCTGTTGCACTCGCTCTAATCGCTGTCACTGCACGTATTTTGAAGTGGGATGATGTCATTATTGGTGGAGTTAGTCTCTACGCATGCAGAACGTACTTTTGCTCGTCTCGTATAATGATGGAGCAGAAATTTTTCTTTTTGTTCTTGGTGCGTTTGAAGTTGCCAGAATGAATTAGCCTCTATTTTGATGACACAAATTGAACTCTTTATGACTTCTGAATACTCCTAATTGCTTGTAAATATCTTATTTTAATTACTTCAATATGTGCCTAATAAGCTGGATGGGCACTGTGAGAGTAGTAGGGCCCAAACGATATGGGATTTTTGGAGCTGATTCCGATATCGATATAAGGAAGAGAAAAAAATTGAATGCCGATATCTTTTTTTTAATTTATGTTTGATCTGTAGAAATAGATATATATAGATATACACATTTATTTCCCTCAAATGCAATTATCAAACAATTATCAAAATCACAAAAAGATATTCAGTATAAGACAAGATGGTCACTCAACTGGAAAGAAACCGTACATGCATCACTGCTTGACACTATGGAGATTGATAAAGCTTGTTATAATCCATAGAGCACACTCTGCTGGTGAAAGAGAACTGCTCGTTTAAAACTATGAAACTCAGATAAGATGCTATTTGACTGGTGAATAAATCTAGTAATAATGGTGCATATCTGTTAAAGTGACTTGATATTCTGATATCGGCTGATATTATCGGCTGGCAGATTAATTGGCCGGGCTCTAATTTAAAGTATGCAAATCTGCAACAGCTATCAGCTTTTTATGCCTGGATAAATGTAAAATCACATCAAAAGGTTTTTTAATTTTTTAATTGATTCAGTACTTCTTAAATGTAAATATTTCATATATCACATCAGAGATACCATTTTGTCCCTCCAATACCAATCTTAAACCCATAGCTATAGTACGGTCCAATATTGTAAGACTTCTAGCGTGCTACCCTACTTTTTGAGGATTTTCGGTAAAGCCACCAATTACTGATAATGTCATTTCAGCCAAGACTTCAATCTTCTGTGCGCTACTTTGTACAGTCCAACAAGCAACTGGATAAGTGAGATGAAGGCCAAGCTGAGAAACAATCTCAAAAAGCAGAGCTGCACTCGTATGCAAATGATCTGTTCATAGACGTAAATTAAAGCTATATCTGTGTTATATGACTGCGGGTGTTCTCCAGGATTGCATGACAGCCGCTGTGTTACTTTTGCTCTCTACATGGACTGTTATCATGCATCCAGGCAATTACTGCTAACTGCTCATGGACGTTACTACTTGAACTTCAAACAAAAACCAGAACACAAAAATTGCTCATCAGTGAGTCGGATTCCAAAGCAGTCCAAATGTGTCTGTGTTCTTTCAACCTCAACCTTTCAACCAGTTGAGTTAAAATGAGCTACTAGTTCTTCTGTTATCCTGTCCACAAACAAACAGCAGGGAATAATAACCTAAAAGAAATATGGAGACTTAAGGAAGCTTAACTTTTCACATATTATTTAATCTCTGTTGTATGTAATTGATGCCCTTTAAATAAAAGGATTAATACATTAGAATACACATATAATATGTCATGCAGCTCCATCATTTTCCTGATGCAGCAGCTCTACCATCACCTTCACTTGTCCTCCACCAACTAGTCAGTTTTATTTTGGCATCTCATCACACCACCTGTGAGTAAATCGTAATAGATCGATTCCTCCCGTTGTACAGTCTGCTGACACAGAGAGGAGTGGGTCGCTGGTGATCTAAAAATACGAGGTTTGGATGAGTCTCCACCAGCTTCACTTTGTCCAACATGCAATGCTGCAGATTTGTTGGCTGCAAAGTCTTCGCAGCTCAGGAACATTTTGTCAGGGACGCTAATTTGAGCGCTTCAACGTGCCAATGCAATATTTTATACGTATTTATTTCATGTCTTCTGCGGCATGAAACCTTTTTATTGCTGCTTTGCTTATAAAGTATCCCCTTGGATAATATGTTACACACTGTTAGGGTTAATCTCTGTATGTAAATGAACCTCTCCTGCATGCACAGGGTGGTCAATGTTATCATTCCTCCAACAGGAATATTAGGCCGGTTGGTCAACCTGCCTGTGTGGTGGTTGCACGGCACACTGGAAAAACAGATATGAACAATATAGGGTAACTTGTTATGAACAGATTTACCTGTCATTTCAGATGTACCTTAATTAAGTCCACATGTCTTAAGTCCTCTCATTAGTCAAGATGTGAGTTAAACTAAACCTATTTGTTTTCCTTTTTAGTGTTTTGAGTTTCATCACTTAACAGACGAGCTTGACCGCTACCTGTGTTCTTTTATCAAACCATTAGGCAACGCTCTAGGTGAATTCCCCTCAAACCATTAGGCAACGCTCTAGGTGAATTCCCCTGATCATATCCGGCTGCATTCTCACATCAGCTCACGTCGACTTCATGCGGAATAAAAATACTGAAGGGGCTGGAAGGAGGAACTCTGGATAAAGTCAGGGTTAAAAATGTGGCCTTTTGCGTTCATATTTCAGGAGTTTTGTGCAGGTGTGAAAGCGCTTTATTTTCTAAATGACTGATTAAAGCCTTTACAAGGGACTGTACGTTAGTGGGGAGCAATTTGAGTGGCTCTGTTGGTAGATTCAGTCATCTCTCAACACCTGAAGGTCAGGGGTTTGATCCCCTGCAGCCACATGTCCGATGTGTCCTTGGGCAAGACTCTTAACCCCAAGTTGCTCCCGCTGCTTCGTCTGCGTATGAATGTTTGTGAATGGGATTAGTTCATTCTGATGGTCACTTTACATAGCGACCTCCGCCATCAACGTGTGAATGTGCTGGTGTGACCTCCAGCGCTTTGAGTAGTCAGAACACTAAAAAAAACACTATACATGCTCAAGTCCATATATCATTTCCCAGACGTTTATAATTATAAAGTGTACAATAAGCAAAATCTTTTTACTCTTTATTTTCTCACATTAATATAGTTTCCTTTTACTCTCAATGCGTTTTTCTGTACTTTAAATTGATCTAATGAATATAATGTGTCAACATTCACTACCATTTTATATTGTATTTTAACGTTTTAATTGTACACTTCAGAGGTTTTTCCTGTATTTTAAATGTATTTCATGTACTGTATATAATGTGTATAACTCTTGCTTTGACAGGTACTAAAAAAAAAAATCACTGCGATGTATAATTGTGTATGTGACCAATAAATGTAGAATTGTTTGTTGTGATATTGAAATTGAATGTTCAACAATTATGCTGGAGACAATGCAGCAGGAGATAATGTTGAGGTTAGACGTAAAAGATGTGATAAAGATGGTGATTGTTAATGCTGATGGAGGAGTAAATGGTAGGGAGGAGAATGTTGGTAATTGGGATAATGACCTCTTGTATGTGCGATGTGTTTGTTTGTGCTGGAGGACACAGCTGTACTCATTGTGAAGCCATTTTATTTATCTATTATTTATTTCCCTCTGTTTCCAGATTGACTTGGAGCCAGAGGGGAAGGTGTACGTGGTCATTGATCTGTCTGGATCCTCCACTGAAGGTAAAACTACCAGAATATACTATTTCATCCAATCAAAGGAAAGGAATCACACAAGCCTTCCTCTTCTGTTTGCTTGTCGTTGATAGTCTGTTCCTGGTTGTTCAAAGGGTCTAATCTGGATAAGAATGAGCTCGTTTTGGAAATCACCTTTTTTTTTTTGCTATCCAGCATCAGTTAATCAATCTCACGTGTGTCCCTTTTTTTTTTTTTTTTTTTGAAGAAAAACTGGATAGGATAAATCTATCCAGATACAGAGTTTTAAAGATGACCAAATCCATATTAAATGTGCTCTAAATGGGACTACATACTACCAATTTTGTCCCAGGAGGCGCCAGAATCCACACAAAATGAAAGAGCCAGACAGTTAACTTATTTTTGACTATTGCATCTCCCTACTGGCCGGTCTTCCTACATGCACTATCAAACCTTGAATGAACCAAAACCAGGCGGCAACCAAGAGTCTTGAAAAATGAGGCCAATGTGGAAGTGCAAAATCCTCGTCGAGGATGGCTTACGTCACTCAGGCTTCTTCCAATAATATTTACAGTCTGTGACCAAAACGCAGAAGTGCGACTAGTCTTCCACCTTTCCAAAAGATCAAATATCACTTTGTGTTTTTGATTTGATTTGATCCAATTAGATATTTTTACTCAAAACAGATAACTTGTGAGAAACTGGGCCTGAAACTTTGGTTGAACAAGTACTGGTCTATCACAGCCGAGGAGTTCTAGCCAATCATTGAGAATGGGATGGAGCTCTACTGGGAAACTACATTCATTGTAAAGATTAATGGATTAATGCCTACGCAGAAAACATAGGACTTTCTCTGTTTTCTCCTTCCGCCTCCATCTGATTGTATGGATTATGCCTGGAAACAGCCAGAATATTGCTCTAAATTAGCATTGCTTCACACACACACACACACACACACACACACACACACACACACACACACACACACACACACACACACACACACACACACACACACTCGCCCGCGCACTCAGTCACATGCTGTCTGAGAAGAGTGATTTTCACCTGTTTCTTCACACCTGCTTATAAATAGACTTCTAGTGCAAGTGGCAGTGAATATACAGTGTGTTTGTGTGTGTGTGTGTGTGTGTGTGTGTGTGTGTGGGTGGGTGTATTGTAGAACCCCGGCAGTATAACACAGAGTGTAGTTCCTCTCTGTAAAGACCGATGAAGAGCGCAGCAGAGATTGAAAGAGAGAGGGAGTAGATTCTTAAAATAGTGTAGGTGAGATTGAGCCTTGGATTACACACGAACACACATATACGCACACACACATACACACACACACACACACACACACACGCACGCACACACAGATGCAGACTCAGGCGTCCGTGTCTTGGCCTCCTCATCGGTGATTGGACACTCTGGTGTGACCTCACGACCCACTCTCCGCCCACTCCTGAACTTCCTCCCTGGGTTCAGCTGGCTCGAGCGCGTTAATATATGCTGATAAAAACAAATGCTGTGTGTGTGTGCGTGTGCATGTGTGTGTGTGTTTGCTGATAGGAGGGATGGAGAGATGGAGGGTGAGAACTAGAGGAAGAGGTGGTATTTTTAGCAGATTTTTTTTTTTTTCCCCTGGTGCAATCTGTTCTCTGCAGCATCGGAGGCTGAGAGGACTCATACTTTTCCTCTCTTTTTCTTTTTTTCTTCCTCTTTTCTCCTCTTCCATCCTCGTGCATCTGTTGGTCTCAGGATGAAAATTGACAATAATCTCACCTAATCTCACCATCTGCGGTCTCTCGTCTGTGTTTCTGGATTCCCCTTCTCTCATTTTCTTCATCATTTTAAACATTTTCTTTTCATATTTATCATACTTAAAAGATAAACATCATGTCGATCGAACACTTTAAATGCGCAGAGTCACATTTTTGCCATCATTAAAAAACAGACGAGTGCTGTGATATGAAAGCACAGTCAGTCAGAGAAAAACAACATAAAGCATAGAAGTGATTTAGACATAGATAAAAGGAAAAAAAAATATTGAAATTTTTAATCATTTAAGAAACACTTTGCCCACCTTTCTGTCCCCTCCTTTAGGGCTCACTCACACTAGGCGGCCATGTTGCTCCGTACCGGGCTGAAGCATTATTGCCCCCCCCCCTCTCCCGAGTCCCCCACTGGTCTGCCCTCACACTGCTCCAGGCCAGGTTACCTCTTGTACACACGTCACCATATGTGTAGTGCCACCGGAGCAAACCAAAAGTTTATTTGTTGATTCACAACGACAACTCATGCACACAGTAACATGAAAGACAAGACTCCACCTTCAAATGTCCAGTTGCTTTCAAATAGCGGCCATAGACTGATAGCTGAACACAGAGAACATGGCTCCAAAACTTTACAGACTTTGTGGCTTATGTTGAGTTTTGGTCAGATACGGCTCTCTAACAATCCTGGATTTCTTGATTATGCAAGGTGGGGGATCGATTATACGTCATGTCCTCGTTCCTGTTCCTGTGCTTGTTCATAAGCAACCATGCCTTGCTGAAGCACAACACTTCCAACCGTGCAAGGGGCCAAGGAAGTGTACCATGCTTGAGCACGTAAGCGGCACTCACAATAGTCCAGCAAACTGGACGTTGGGGGTCAAACGTGCTTGACGGATTGCCTAGTGTTGGTTTTGTTGAAGGGGCGTGTTTGGTGACTTGTTTTTGTAGCAATAATATTATTTTAAACTTGAAGCCATAGAAATCTTCATAAAGTATGTTTTGCTTTTTCCTAAAATCTTTTTTTGTCACTTCCACAGAAACATAAGAGAGAAAACTGATTTCAGGTCTAAAACCTCTTGAGACTCGATGTCCCACTCATCTAAAGAAATGCTTCATTGGTTTGCTTCACCTGTTTTAATGAGGCCGTCTGCTTGGGTGTAGTAAAAGAAAGCTTTAATCTACTTTTATACAGTGTGGCAAAAGAACCGTTCGCAATAGCACCAACAATGTTCACTTGCTTCGTAGAGATATGGAGATAATCATGATTTCTCACACCTAAAGAAAGTCAGAGTCATATCTCCGCCTCCTCCGGCCGCCTTTACACCACACAAAAAAGCTCTCCTGCTTCAGGTTTATAAATATCATCTCATCTCTTTTTGCATCTCCTTCAGTCTAATTCGGTCGTCTTCTAGAAGTTTCTCCCGTTGGGCAGATTTTTTTCTCATTGATTCTGATTTTTTTCAACATCCTTCAAGCCTTGCTGCTTAATCACTGACCTACCTAGAGCTATGAGTGCTTTCAGTACTACAGCTACATCTCGAACTGATTCAAGTTATTAGAGTTCAAACAACTTTGAACACAACTCGTCTCCATTCTTTCTCATTGTTTTTTAGAAGCTGATTTCTGCCGTGGTTGTATTGTCATTCAATTTTAGGTCAGATTTCTTTGTCTCATTATCTGTAGTTCAGCTCTGTCCTTTCCTGTGTTTGTGTTTCGATCTGACTCCTCCGCCGTCTGTGTGTGTGTGTGTGTGTGTGTGTGTGTGTGTGTGTGTGTGTGTGTGTGTGTTGTGTGTGTGTGTGTGTGTGTGTGTGTGTGTGTGTGTGTGTGTGTTTGATTGTTGGACGCTCATCTCCCAGTATGTCCTTCACTGGGACCAGTGTACGTCTGTGTCCGCGACGATGTTATTCTGCCTCATCACCCCTACTTATCAGCATGCCTGCTTGTGTGTGATGTGTGTGTGTGTGTGTGTGTGTGTGTGTGTGTGTGTGTGTGTGTGATGTGTGTCCTGGACAGATGGATGATGTATTATGTAAAACAAAGTGATCCCAATAATGGCCTTTTAAGCTGTCTCTCCCCTCTCTCACCAGCACACGGAAACACACTTTCACTTGCACACACTCCAACACACAAACACAATCACTCACACACACACACACACACACGCGCGCGCGCGCACACACACGCACACACACGCACACACACGCACACACACTGGGTCCCTAGACAGGCCGTCTGTAATCGAACTCTGGAGAGGCTCAGCAGTAACCACATGTATAACGCACCCCAGAGATGGATGGAGGGAGAGTGAACGAGAGGCAAACTAGGACAGGAGCGCCGAGAGGAGTGTGTGTGTCTGTGTTTGTGTGTGTGTGTGTGTGTGTGTGTGTGTGTGTGGGCGGGAGAGTGGAGGTGGTTCTCTTGTCTTAAGGTTACCCTCGGAAAGCGTTTGTGTTTCCGGGGAGATATAGAGAGGAAGGGAACGGCTGCTTGGATGTTGCTTGCAGAGGAGGAGGAGTATTTTAATATGCTGTCCTTCGTTTAAGTGCCCACACATGGAAGTATAAATAGCGCGCACATGTACGTATGCATAGGCCTCTGGTAGGTGTGGGGTGTTTGTGAGGAAGAGAACGGGAGGAAGGGGGGGGGGAGGAAGATGAGAGGCTGTTAAATGATTAAACATCTCGAGCAACGTGATGCAAATGATCTTTTTGTACAAACCATCCCGGGAAGTGAAAAAACAATGTGCGTAAAATAAACATAATCAGCGATTTAATATGAGTACTCATCGAAAAGTGACTCACAAACACACCCCCAAAAAAAAAAAAAACACCTAAATCTTCAGATTCCTGCTTTTTCTTTTGTTGATCAACTTCTTTGTATCCACTTTACAGCTTCAGGAACCAATGACAATGAGGAGCGAGTGTTTCGAGAAAGGATCGGTCCTCGCCGGCGACAGGGCGCCGTCCGAAGACGCGTCCATCAAGTCAATGGACACAAGTTCATGGCCACCTACCTGAGACAACCCACCTACTGCTCACACTGCAGAGATTTTATCTGGTAGGCAACACTGAAAACACAAACACACACAAACCCAACCTGCTGTAAAGTTTCATTAAACCACCTGTCTGAAATGCTGACTCTCTCTCTCTCTCTCTCTCTCTCTCTCTCTATCTGTGATCTGATAGGGGCGTGCTGGGGAAGCAGGGATACCAGTGTCAGGGTGAGTACTTTTCTCTGGCGGCTTCCAATTTCTCAAGTTAACTCTGCACGTCATGTTTTATTAAAGCAAAGAACACAGGAGGGATAACATGCTGCTGAATGACAGCTGTGATTTGGTCTCAAGCCACCGACCGATCGCTCTGAGCCAAAGATAAGCCAGAGCTCTCCAACATCCTGTGACATCGGGATGCATCCAACAGGCACGCGTCATATAGAATAACTCAGTTTTATTGTGTCGTTTAAATAACACATTTATCAAGTACTCTAAAGAAAGTCTTTCGAGCTGCGTTTGTTTAGTTCATCGTTTTATGTCACATGATGTCAAGAGAATCACTCACAACATGTGTGTTTGCTTTAGTGTGGCACAAATAAATAATTAAGATTCACGGAGTGTAACACGGGTCTTTAAGGCTAATTTCAAATAAAAGTGGTCCTTTTAAATTAACAAAAAAAAAATGAGATTAAAAGTGTTTGTGTTGGATTGCAGAATTTATAGTTCAACAACATACAAGTGAAAGATGCTGCTTTTTTTTTCCTTGTTAATGAGATTCTTTCGCTCAATGAGGCTTTCCTGGTTAAATAACAAAAGAGTCTCTCTAAATTAATTATAAACACTACTCTAACTGCATGGTAACATAAGATATACTGCATTGACCCAAAGGGGGAATTATTGGACTCCTGCAGGGACAAGAGAATGGAAAAAAAAGACATAAAAAGAAATCATAAAGCACAGCACTTCATGTAAAAATTGCACAGAGAAGAACACTTTCTTACAGCAGAGACATGTTGACATAATGCACGGTCGCATCCTACATTACCTGTTATTCAGAATGTGAATGGACATCAGCACATGCTCTATATATACGGTGTCATGAGATAACTTCTGCTGTGATTAGGTGATGCATAAATAAAATGGATCGCTTGATCGAAAGCTGCCGGTTGTTCTCCTGCAAAACTCATGCTGCAAATAAATGCACGCATTTTGATGTGCAGCTGCACATTCAGCCAATCAATGTACTTTCATAAGGACAGTGTTGGTACGTTTCCCCAGACATACTCTCAAAAACACAACCTTACAAAAGATATTCTTGAATACTTTTTCAGATATACATTTTCTTAACAGATTTTTCCCACATTTATTTTATGTAAGAAGACTTTAACATCTTCTGGAAGTCCAAGTTTCCCTGACTTAATTAAGGCTTAAGTCAGGCACATGGAGTACGACGAATGTGCAGCCCAGACTCTTAAGGACTTAACGGTCGCATGAAATGATTCTGCAGAAATGAAAGTGCATCCGGTGCTAACATGCAGATGAAGAAAGAAGAGCTGTTAATGTGTTCTGGAGAGCGCTAAGGGTGTGCTGATAGGTGTGTCATTTAGTCTACTTTTTTTTAGGGGTTGCATTCTGTCACTTTCATTATTTGAATGGGGTGCTCCTTTGGCTAAAACAATATGTGCGGTTGTACATTCCTGGTGTAAGTCTTTGTAACTTAAATGTTGTTTTTTCTGCTTTTTGCTGCAGCAATGACTGCAGAGAAAGATTAGTTGCTGCCGTGATAACTTTCCAGAGTTCTAACATCCCATCTGTGATACTGTGTTGTGTAATGTTTTGGCAGCTGATGAGTCTTTAAATGCATTCATCTGTTACCCCAAATGGACTTCTTGGATCCTTTCGTGTCTCGTGTGTACCTTAAACAACCTGCACCCACCAAAGCAGACCCTCTTTACGGCTTTAACACGAGTCTGTTTTTTTTCAGCCTGAAAGCCAATTGAAAAAAAAAACAACATTTTTTATATTTATATCACACCCCCATCAACGGGTTGGTGCAAAAACAAACTGTAAGCAGAATCTTTTATTTGATGCTTAACATTTACGTTGTTCTGTTTCATGTGCAGAACAACGACTACTCTGTGTATGTGCCCTACACTTACTTCTGCACCTGAATGCATCATCTGTAGATGCAGGAAGAGGCCTGAAGCTGCTGCTGTTGCTCTGCTAACTGCTGCTAAATGCTGCATGCATTGTTTACGCTGTGTTTCCTTCACCACACACTTTGACCACAAGAGCGTTGTGATTTCTAAAAATGTGTTTCATTTACATTATTTCAAGATCTGGAGATTCATTGCTTCTGATCGGGTTGTACTACCTCTCTGTTGTCTTAATTATTATCACAGGACATAAATCAAGGTAGTTATTGATTACATTTGCATTAGTTGCCCTTTATCTTATTCAGATAAAGATTCCTAATATTTAAAATCAAAGTATCAGCCAATAACAGACTGTCTAATACCGTAACCTTTTATTCTTTGTTGACGTCACTGCAGTGCACCAATCAGGCTCCTTTATCTTGGAGTATGTGAGGCCAAAAATACACAGCGCACTTTTTTTTTTTTATCTTTTGAAGATTTTATTTATTTATTTCTTAAAAGGTTTGGACCTTTTTTGTATTGATGTTGAATGTGGGTCGGTCCCATTTGGCTGACACCAGATCCCCTTAATAAGGTCAGTGTGGGCTCGGATATTACATCAGTGTATCAAATCGATGCATCACACGGCGCCGCAGCACTGCTGCACCGCTCAGCCATTTTGGAATATTGTCACTTTTATTTGTTGCTGTTTATCCAAAAAATTAAAATAATAATTGAAATCCAAGTTACATATTAAACATCCCTCACTTGATCTTGCGTCCAAACTATTTGTCATGTCCCTTATTCTTTTCTGTTTGATGATTTTAACATTTATTGTGTGAATATTTCTGCTGTGCTCCCCAGTGTGTACGTGTGTCGTCCACAAGCGCTGCCATGAGCTCATCATCACCAAGTGTGCCGGGATGAAGAAGCAGGAGGACACACCGGACGAGGTACACACACTCACAGGAAAGAGTTGAAGTCCACACGGATGGATGTTGATTATTGATTTATTAATAGTTAAATGTACAGAGACACCGTTAAGGTCCTAAAGGCAGCATGTGTACACGGTGTACTAACACTTAAGCCACATGCATTATTCCTCTGATAATGCCACTGTGACCTCTTTATAACACAGGTGTGTATGTGTGTGTGTGTGTGTGTGTGTGTGTGTGTGTGTGTGTGTGTGTGTGTGTGTGTGTGTGTGTGTGTGTGTGTGTGTGTGTGTGTGTGTGTGTGTGTGTGTGTGTGTGTGTCTCCCTCTGTAGGTGGGTTCACAGCGGTTCAGTGTTAACATGCCTCATAAGTTCAGTATCCACAACTACAAGGTCCCAACCTTCTGCGACCACTGCGGCTCACTGCTGTGGGGCCTAATGAGGCAGGGCCTTCAGTGCAAAGGTGCGTTCATGGGCAGTGGGAAATCACAGTGTCATTACAATGTTTTTCCTTTTTTTAATCTCAACAAAACGGGGCCTGAATTTCAAGTCAAAGTGTGAAAACAAAATGAATGTCAGTTGATTTTAACAAAGCATTTTCAACGACATTAAAATGAAAACTGACATTTTCAGAACAGTTGTTTCGTAATAGTTGCAAACACACACACACACTTAAATTAAAACCTAGTTATGTTCTGAAATGTTAGGTCACGGTTCAAAGAACAAGTGATGTTTGAAGCAGACGCTCCGATTCTTTGGGAGAATGTTTTAATATTTTTAATGATCATTTAAGAACACATTTTTCCTTTTGAAGCCGCAGACAATCTGCCACATGTATCCCGTGAATATCTGTTTGTACATTTTTTAATAAGAAGTCAGCATTAACACAACAGATCTTTTGCTTCCAGTTGATCGTCAAATATTTCTGATTTATATAACCAAAATAAAATTAAAAATAAAATATTTTGTGGTAATTTTGTTTGTTTTCTTTTCTGAACTCTCGATCACACGATGCAGCATTAGTTTTCCTAATTATGCAGTTGGCCTTTTTTTTGTCTAATTTGCTACATTTTGAAAGAGCAAATAACCACGATAATAATGATTGCTTTGCATGAAATGTTTTATATGTATCCATCAAGGTGAAGTGTACTAAATTTTTTATAGTTTAAATATTTTTTAAAGTTGATTCAGAATGCAATGTGTTCTTCCAATAAACATTTATTTAATTTTAAATTTTCAACATTTCTATTGATGAGCGCGCGTTAGCTGTTGCTACAACCGTGATCTTCCATTACAAGAACCATGTTTTAGACTGAAATTATGCTTTATTTATTTATTTATTTATTTTATTTATTTCACAGAGGAGGCGAATCAGACTGCTTTACACGAGAGAACACTGAGCTATAAAAACAGAGGATAATAAGCAGAAATAATTTAAATTAAAAAAAAAATATAGAAAACTGGGTATATTTAGCCTCAACAAATCACGTGTGTTTTTATTGTTTTACAGTTTGTAAGATGAATGTGCACAGGCGGTGTGAGACCAATGTAGCTCCTAACTGTGGTGTGGACGCCCGAGGTATCGCTAAGGTCCTGTCTGACCTTGGAGTCACACCTGACAAGATCTCCAACACCGCACAGCGCAGGAGGAAGGTAACCAGTCGTTCTGACTGTGACACTGCACTTTAGTACCTTACACATTAAAGTATTTCCATCATGAACGAAGGACTCCTGAATCCGGTTTGGATCAATCAAACTATTTCATTCATGGGAGGATGATTTGGTCATGTTGCCTCTCTCTCTCTCTCTCTCTCTCTCTCTCTCTCTCTCTCTATAGTTGACTCCGGGGCTGGACCCTCCTCAGTCTCCTCCTGAGCTCACTCAGACTGAGGACAACAGCTTCAGCCAGCCAGCTGTCCCCACCTCCCCCTCACAGCAGGGTAACACTGAACACAACACACACACACACACACACACACACACACACACACACACACACACACACACACACACACACCATCAGAAAACACAGATTTGACTCCAACAAGCACACATCTTGAATCCCCGTCAGATACATTCTTGGTAGCATGCGGTGAAATGTGTTAATTTTACCGGTAAGAGGTCGTATTTCCATTTCAGGAATAATGTTATTCTCCCTCTTAAGAACTAATGTGCAAAATGTGTTATTGTCTTTGTATATATGAGGCTGAACTTGACTTATTCCCCACCGCCCACCACCATTTGGTTGTCACAGTTAGTCATCGTCCTCTCACACTTTGCAAGCGGAGAAACAAAAGTTAACTTTCTCTCTTTGTGGAAGAAGTCCCATTTTTTCTTTATGGAGTAAAACGCTGATGACAAAAACATTGGTCCCTGCTGCGATTTAATCATCCTGATCGGAGATAATTTCACTGAGTCATCCCACATTCTATCTGACGACGTTGCTCGTCTTCTGTGTAAGGTTTTGCAAAAGTAATCAGCGACAAATCCTGAGCCACATTTCAAATAAAAATCTTATTTTTTTTCACAAGCTGACAGAAGAAAAAAAAAAAAGACAGTCACCCTGTTTTTACTAAGACTCTGATGTACTTTTTTTCCGATGACACCCACAGACTTGGCAGAGCTAGACCGCCTGCAGCACGCGCTGTCGCTCGACCAGCAGGGACAGCAGCACTCCTCCTCTTCCTCCTCCTCCACCACCTCCTCTACCTCCACGATCTCCTCCTCGGTGAGCAGGGAGAACGGACAAATGCAGAGGAGGAGCCTGAAGGACTTCAACTTCATCAAGGTTCTCGGAAAAGGCAGCTTCGGCAAGGTGCGGCGACACGGAGGAGGCGTTTGAGGGGGATGTTTGTTTTGTTTGTTTGCTGCTCATTATGGTCATAATTGAAACACCTCAGTTACCAGAGTTCTCATTATTCATGAACATCAGTTAATCAGGGATGTCAGGGAATTTCTGGAACCAGATCAGACTAGCTTGTTGTTCATTTCTCACATCAAAGCAGCTTTTTACAGATTCCATTTGACCTTTCCTCGCAGAACAATCATTGAGCATATAAAAATATTAATCATTTGTTGAACCGACTAGTTCTAATTCTGAATCCAACGAACGACCCTGTAGCAGAAATAAACAAATATAACAAAAAAAAAAACAACAACCTCCCATTAAAACAAAACTCTACTAAAGGAATACAATTTATTACAAGCAGCTTAGATAAAAGAACAAGCAAATTCAATTAGCACCACAGTTGTTGAAGTCATTTGTTTGTACAGTGCAGCGTATTTAAAGTGCAGCCAAAGTCCATATAACACAGTTAATGTGACACAGGCTCAGTGTGTTTATGACCCTGATTGTGAAGCATTCTGCTGCATTTAGCCAAAAATGCTCCAGTACCTCTCGTCTGTATGACAGGAGGGGAAATGAGTTTGTTGGATAGGCTGCGGATGTCCCGGATGATGCTGGAGGTCCTGCGAGGATAACTCTCCAATAGGAAGGAGAGAGAGAGAGGATTCATGATGATCAATCTGTTTCCACCTTCTGTTATTCTGCTTTCATTTTATCCCCGCTCTGTCTCTGCTCTCTTATTCAGGTGATGCTGGCGGAGCTGAAGGGGACGGAGGAGGTTTACGCCGTCAAAGTTTTAAAGAAAGATGTGATCCTGCAGGACGACGACGTGGACTGCACCATGACCGAGAAACGCATCCTGGCCCTCGCCCGCAGACACCCCTACCTCACCCAGCTCTACTGCTGCTTCCAGACACGCGTACGGCCACTGGACAGCACATACACACACACACACACACACACACACACACACACACACAGGTCTAATAGGACTCCTCTGTGTTCTCTGTGTCTTACCTCCCACTCTGTCTCTTTCTGCAGGACCGTTTGTTTTTTGTAATGGAATATGTGAATGGAGGAGACTTGATGTTCCAGATTCAGCGTTCCAGGAAGTTCGATGAGTCTCGCTCTCGTTTTTACGCTGCCGAGGTCACCTCAGCCCTCATGTTCCTGCATCGTAACGGCGTCATCTACAGGTGAAATGTCCCTTTATTTTTTACGATTTTCAACCAAGGGTAACCTCATCTGTTTTTTATTGGGGGGGAGTTATTTTTAGAAATCATGCTCCGTCTTTAGAGGTGAATACTCAGAAAAAGACCAGAGAATAGATTCATTTTTTAGGGATTCAAAGTGAATCCACAAACGATAATCTTACCAGGAACATACCAGAAGGTGTATGACAACATGTTTCACACTTGAATTGCTTCATACTGTGATTCTCAAGTTTTTTTTTTTATTGCCCGCTAACTTCTCCCAGTGAGACCAACTGTTGTTGAAACCAGATGATGCTGATTCTCTCTCTCTCTCTCTCTCTCTCTCTCTCTCTCTCTCTCTCTCTCTCTCTCTCTCTGTGTCTTTGTCTCTCAGGGACCTGAAACTGGATAACATCCTGTTGGACGCAGAGGGACACTGTAAGCTGGCAGACTTCGGCATGTGCAAAGAGGGCATCATGAACGGAGTGACCACCACCACCTTCTGCGGCACACCCGACTACATCGCCCCCGAGGTGAGATTGAAGCGGTCTGCACTGTGCTGCATTCCCCCGAGGGTTTTCTTTTTTTTTTTGTGATCAACTTTTTATTGAAATTTAACATAAGATGCTTATACACATGAGTTTCAATGACAGAAACTCAAGAAAGCATCATCAAACATACAAACTATTTACAGATCGCCGTTGCCTTGATGAGAAAAAATATACATAAAATTTAAAACAAAGACAAAATTACTGAATGAAATTATGATATGCATGTACACACACACACACACATATATATATATTCCCATACACACATATGCACACAAAATAAAACCTATAGACACAGCACAATAAATAAAACTAAAACAAATAAACAGATAAAAATAATAATAATAATAATTCAACCAAACAATTTCACAAAAAGTGTAAGTTTACGTTTTGTTTATAATACCGGTTATATTTGTTCAAGAAAAACTGGATCTGAAAGAGTTGAAATAAGGAAATCCCAAGCCTGTACCCCGAGGGTTTTCTGATAGAAAAGTAACAAAGTGCATTTACTCGAGTATTAAATGAGGTGCAGCTTTATTCAGCTGACAGGGAGGAAGCAAACTCTTCATCATAGGTTATTTTACTGGATGAATCATTTTGTCAATAAGATGTTTAGAAGAAAACAAAATGTCAACACACACAGAAAGGATGATTCATTTCGCCCGACTAACAGACTCAAACAAAAATTCAAGTTTATTGTCACACTTTAGAAACTTTAACCAGAGAAATGCTTTAACAGAACGGACTTTGATTCCTTCATTTATCATGTATGCATGAAAATTTCTTCTCTAATCAATGAATCCTTACAGTTGTAGGAACAAATGGGACATTTCTCAGCCGACTGTCAATTTCACAACACAACAACCTTTTTTTTTTTTTTTTTTTTTTAAACTAAAATGTTTTTTTCCCTTCCCTCACCTGCTTCTTACTTATCTTTTAATACATGTGTAATCTGGCTTGCAAAATAAGCAAAATAATTCCAATTTGAGATACAAATATCTGACCAGTTGAGGCGATTCAGGCATCTGATCAAGATCTGCCTCAGCCTCTCTTCTGGGAGGAGACTCAGAGGTAGACTCAGAGCTCACTGGAGGGATCATATATCCCCTCTGGCGTTGGGATCCCCAAGGAGGATCTGGAAAACATCGCTGGGGAGAGGGACGTCTGGGGCAACTTGCTTAGCTCGCTGCCACAGAGACCCGGACCTGGATAAGCGGAAGATAATGGATGAATGGAAGGAAATAACGTCTCTTCACTGCTAACTTTTCTAAACTTTTAGTCTGCAAAATTTCTGGAGCTTTCATATTTTCAATTTCCCTCTGGATCAATACAGTACCTATTGATCTCCTTGATCTCATCTATAGCCCTTGAATTGTGTTTTACCATCTTTTATTAGTTCTCTTCGATGACCACTACAGCTGAAGTAAATGTTTGATTTGGCTTCTAAAGAAATCTCTTAATTATCTTCTTTTCTTTTCTTTTTTTTTGTATCTCTCACCCAAAGTCGACAACAATAGGAAAAAAAAAGTGTTTGCTTTCTTGCCCACAAACTCTGTAGTAAAGAGATATTATCTTCAAACATTTAAAAAAACAGACAGAACCATTTGAATATGTATCATATTTACTCCTTTGTGGTCGTTAGTGACCTGTGGACTGACAGTCTGCAGCGGTCTCTGATCAGAGCCACACAGCTGGTTTTCTCTCCGTCCTCCGGGTTGAACTGTGTCGTGTTGTTGGATTTTCAGATCCTGCAGGAGCTGGAGTACGGGGCCTCTGTGGACTGGTGGGCCCTCGGGGTGCTGATGTACGAGATGATGGCCGGGCAGCCTCCGTTTGAAGCCGACAATGAAGACGACTTGTTCGAGTCGATTCTCCACGACGACGTCCTCTACCCCGTGTGGCTCAGCAAAGAAGCTGTTTCTATCCTCAGAGCGGTGCGTGACGTCTCTCCACACACACCTTTCATCATTTCTATTATTATTTGGACACGACGAGCTTTAAATTCTCGCTTCTTCTTCAAAGGCAGGGATCTGGTCTCTTGCAGGAAATATCCGTCCATAATAATAATGATGACTTTATGTGTATAGCACTTTTAACAACGAGGTTTTACAAAGTGCTTTGACATGTGAAGAAGCAAACATAACAACACGAGTACCCAAATCACAACATATTACACAGAAAGGTTTCATTATGAATTCAAATACGCTCTCTCTCTCTTTCCAACTCTATCCACTGTCCTCTCTCACCAATAAAGGCACAAAAAGCCCAAAATAAATCTTAAAAAAAAATTAAAAATACAAAACAGTCACACAAAACCTAACCATTAGTCATTAAGGTGATTTGAAGGTTTAAAAGAAGTTAAAAATGCCTGAATTGAACATTTAACTCTCCTCTTTTCAGACTCACCTTAATATCTGGATTAACAAAATACTCTGCCTGGTGTTTAACGCTTTCTTCAACGTTTGAAATAGTGACGGTAACAGTTCAATATAACAGGGGGAGTAAGAGAAGTTACTCTATGTGTAAGCAAAGAGAAGAAAGGTACGGCTTTGTCCACAGCGGGGGGGAAAAATCAACAAACCTAAAGTGTCTCACAGGAGCGTGAAAGGCTGGATCTTATTTTTGAAACGCTGCTAAAACCGGAGTCCAAAAAAGCTCAGTGTAAGGCACGATGTGACCAGATTTAACCTTCATATCTAGATGTCTTTCACTTTTAAATCACACTGCTGCTGCTGCTTTATAAAAAAGATATCAGAGGTTTTTTTTTTTTGTTACTATAAACACTCAGTTATCAGAGCTTTTTTCCCCATGTTTTTTGCAGCCACTGTTGTCTCATTCTCATTCATGTTTCTGACCTCAGAGCTGCACGCGAACAGCTCAAGTGCTCTTAACACAGAGGTGTTACGACAGACTTCACTGTGATACTGAGAGGGATCAAAAAAAAAGTCTGTGAGAGAGGTCAGAGTAATAACGCGATCATAAAAAGCTCAAAGTGCTCTTCTAATACTGAACCGACAACGGAGCTAAAGCGACGCAGCTTTCAGTCACAGGAAATTTAAAAAAAAAAGCAGCGGCTCTCTGCTGACCCGTTTCAACGCTCTGCCTCTTTGTTTGTAGCGTCCACACAGCCGGTAATGCCACACAGGCGCTATTATTAGCACCCAAACGCTTTCGTTCTGCTGATGTCCTCGTCATTTTAATGGATCAAACCACGGCTAAGTGTTAAAGGGAAGGGGCCGTGTTTGAAATGAAACGTGTGCATTGTGTGTGTTTGCATGTGTAGTTCATGACCAAGAACCCGGCCAAGCGTCTGGGCTGCGTGGTGAGCCAGGGATGCGAGGAGGCCATCAAGACCCACGCCTTCTTCAGAGAGATCGACTGGGTGCTGCTGGAGCAGAGGAAAGTCAAACCGCCCTTCAAACCCAGGATTGTAAGAGTCGCTCACACACACACACACACACGCACGCTTCATACACACACTGACATTTGACAAATACTACACAATGCGTCTGACAAAATGGTGACTTTTCTACTTATTCACGTCAGCTGCTTTTTTGTTTGTTTTTAGAGAGCGATACAGAATGTTTCAGTCAGGGTATTAAAAACAATAGAAGTTCACTCAGTGCTTTCCAGTCCAGAGAAATGGGTTTGAATCTTTCTTAGTTGGTGTAAAGGATGAAAGTAAACACAGGTAATGCACATTTTATTACAGAGAAGGCAAGAATAACTTCAAAGAAAACCTATTACAACTCCAGTGTTAAAATTGGGATCTAAATATAAAAGTAAGGTCCAACTCTTATTCTCTAAAACATCTAAAGATTTGTGTTTTTCTGCTGCAGGTTCAGTTAAAGATACAATAAGTAGATTCCGCCACCAGGGGGCTCTCAATCAATAATACAATAACAAAAGATGATGTTGAGGCTAGCGGGAATCAGGGAGTTCTCTCTCAACAAAAAAAAATAAAAATGTTTACACAGTCATGAGCAAGATACAGAAATCAAATCAAACAAAGTCATACACACCACAAAGCAAACATCAGTAACCACACAAGTCATCATACACACACACACACAAACACACACATGCACACAAAACTATTTGTACACTCAGGAGAATGTTTGAATTTTAAAAGTAGAGACAGTTGGGATGGACCTCAGCTCAGCAGGAAGTTTGTTCCAGAGAGAAGGTCCACAGTAACTTAAGGTCCCCCTTTGATCTAATTCTGGGTACGTCTAAAAGACCTCCACCTGATGACATGAGGGGCCGGGAGGGCAGGTTACGTAAAGTCAAATTCCCCTACGATAGGGCAGTGCTTAGTTGTGACCCCTGGTTTTAGTTTAGAGCCTGAATGCTCTTTTCAGATTTAGTTAGTTCGGTTTGTTTTTTGTTATAATTATTATTTATTTGGCTGTCCATGAAGAATTAGAGCAAAGTCCTGAGAGAAATAAAAAAAATATATATTTTATTTTGTGATATTTTTAACTTCCCAAAGAATTGTCCTTAGCCTGATGCTACAAACAACAAACAGAGACAATATTATAAAGCTTTGCAGTCGTGCAGGATTATGTAAAACTTTTTCCACAGATTGGAAAGATTCTTAGTCTGCAGTAAAGGAAACGTTCACCGTACAGAGATCAGAAAAGCATCTGAAATAATCCACTGGTTTTTAAATAAAAAAATTAATCCCATAAAAAAAACTTCCCAAGTAAATATGTCCATGTTGTCCCTTCTTATTAGTGTTTTTAGTTTCATTAGATACTGCTGTACAGAAAGAGGCAGTGAGCCTGAGTGGTCTGAAGGGGTCGCTCTAATGCCATTTTAAGCTTAAGATTGGAGTGAAGTTTCTCCCTCTGACATCCTCCACCTTTCTGTGTGCGTGTGTGTGTGTGTGTGTGTGTGTGTGTGTGTGTGTGTGTCTCTATTTGTGTGTGCCTTTGCAGAAGACCAAGCGGGACGTGAATAACTTCGACCAGGACTTCACCAAGGAGGACCCGGTGCTTACGCCCACAGACGAGGCCATTATCCGACAGATCAACCAGGAGGAGTTCAAAGACTTCTCCTACTGCGCCCCCGAAGAGACGCACACCTACACACACACACACACACACACACACACGCACACACACACACGCTGAAATACACACACACACGCTGAAATACACACACACTTATCCGACAACACTAAACCTGGCACACACACGTACGCACACTTAGCTGAAACTCATACATTCAAACACACGCACACAAACACTCCTTTACTTTGAAGCTATTGGTTGTTGTTACTTTTTGAATATTCTTTACTTGCATTGTGTTGTTCTTGTTGCCTGGGTTTATTATAATTATTATTATTATGAATATAAATATGAATATGACTATGAATAAGAATATACACACCTGCACATGCTTAAACACACATCTCCTCTGTGCACACTTTTAATGCAGACTTACACACTACAATCTACTCACACACACCTACGAGCTCACTGCACATGCTCAGACAACCAAATACACACAATCACACACACACACACACACACACACACACACACACACACATTGCTTCTCTCCCCAGCACACACACATGGACTGTACGGTGTGTGCTGGGTGCAGAGGCCTGTATATAGCCTGTGTTGAGTGGCTGTGTTGTGTTGCTATCGTGTGCTAGTAAAGGAGAGTGGTGGCGCATGGACAAGCACCCTACCTGTGTTATTACTGTCCTTATCGTGGACCAGTTAGGGCCAAATACCCTTTGTGCAATACCCTGACTATCTATATATTTTACAGTTTTTTTTGTTCATGTGTAATTTGTGTCTTTTTGTTTGTTTTTTTCCTCCTCAAAAAATTTGTTTTATGATCGAAATCTTTGCTCTCATCTTCCAGCACAATCCCAACCCCTCCCCTCCCCTCCCCTCCCCTCCCCTCCCCTCTGTCTTTGTGCGCATAAAGTGAATGTCGAGCTCACACGTTACAGGCTATTGAACTAATTATGTGGAGCAGAGTGTTACAGGCGGCCTGTGTAGCAGTTAAAAAAAAAAAAAAAAAAAATGCGTGATAATTTTTTTCCAGCTCCCCCCCCCCCATCGATCTGCTAGTTTCAGAGTCAGCCCTGCCGGCGTGAATGTACATTTTTGTATGTGTGATTTCGTTTTTGATTTTTTTTTTGTCCGCCCTCTTTGTCAGCGTGTGAGTTTTTTTGTCTTCAGCATTTCAGTCATTTTAGTTACCATCAGTGTTTTGAGCCACCTCTCTTCCTCTCAATTTTTTTTCTTCCTCCAAAGCACCAAGTCTCCTTCCTCCTCTTCCTTCTCTTCCTCCTCCTCTTCCTCCTGCAGCAGCCGCCTCGCTCAGCCAAAAAAAACCCACTCGCAATCTTTTTCTCTTTTTTTTTTCAAGAATGGCTTCTCTTTCTTATGGCTACCTTTTTTTTAATTATAAATATAATTGTTATTGTAAAGTGTATCTGGAGGAAACTTTTGTGTAAAAAACTATAACTATACTATCATAGGTCTGTTACAGCCGGTGGGGGGGGGGGGCGTAAAACGAAAATGTGGAAAACCAGCAGCTGAATTACCTCTCATTTCAAACACATACACACACACGACAGCACATACAGACTCCTCCTTCCACTTCTTCTTCCTCTCTCTTTCTCTCTTTGTCTCTCTTTCATTCACACACATGCACACACAGAGAAGGACTGTTGTACTGTTCAGGGATTTTGAAGGCGAGCTGGTTGCTGTGTGTGCAGTAGAGTCGGTGTGTAGTGAAGCTTTGTGCACCCAGGGGTTGGGCTGTTCCTGGTCACACTATCTTACTCTGTGCCAAAATGTAGTGCAACAGCCGGGCTAGTCCTGTCTGCTCTGATTCCAATAAAACACTGAGCTGTCTACATCACGCCCAGACGTCCTCTTTCTTTCTTTCCTGTTGTATCATCTTTCCCCACCTTCTTCTGCTTTGAGATGCTTTCAAGTTTGCATGAGAGAAAAAAAGAGGCTGGGAGGTGGGCTTGAGAGAGCAGAAAGAAAAAAAAAAAAAGGGGGGGGCGGGGAGGTTGATCTAAAATCAGTTTTTTAGAGGCCTGTAGGTGATGCATGTAGAGAAGGAGAGGGAGGAGACACTGGATGGAGTAAAGTCATCTGAGCTGCAGGAGAGCACTCGCCTTGTGACATTTGGCGCCGCTGAACGCCTCCCTGATTAATTAGACTGCCTGTGATGCTGCAAATTGTAGTGAGGAGATTCCCCGCCGCGCTGTGAACTCCTGCTGCAGCCACTGCCTCTGTGTACTGATACCAGCTTCACCATGACAGTAGATAGAGACACCTGTCGGACAGAATGACGGCTGACAAGGAGAAGAGAAGGTAAAGCTGCAGGTTGAATGAGAAACTTTTGTCTCTTTCATCCCAGCGGTTCTTATGGCTTTTGTTGAATTGTTTCTGGGGTTGATGTGGTGACCATAGAGATGATGTTGCAGCCGTGCTGGGCATCTAGAGAACTGCCATCTTGACCACAATGCACCTATGTCCTTCCCTACCTGTGGTGTGTGACCTGAACCCTTTTCCATAACAACCTTTTTCTTTTCATTCGGGCACAGATGCATGATTAATATTCTATCTTCTCTAAATTAAATCTCTTAACAGACATTCGTCACACTCTAAAACGCCCATGCTGGACTTGTGTTTGTGTATTTGAAATATGATGCTCGTCTGTTTTATGATTGAAGTCCTGTGAATTTAGTTCAAACTTGTAAAGTTTTCAGTGTTGTTTTTTTGTACAAAGTAAACTAAATATTTCCAACAGTCTCAAAATCAACACTTTTATCTTCACCTCAGTTTCTTCTTTGAATTCTTTTTTTCTGACCGGTTTTGACATAATTGTGTACAGTGCTACAGTGCTTCAGATAAGTATTCACCACTCAAAGTGTTTCACATTTTGTCGTGTTACATCTGAAAACAGATTTTACTCAAGAATCACCAAGAAGTCCAGACTTTTGAAGGATTACATGATTCCTGAACTTTATATTAAAGGTTCGGGCTCCTAAGCCGCTCACTAGGATCAGGTTCAACCACGGTCCTTATGATAAACATTTCCATCAGCATCCAGCCGATGTCTGGATTCAGGATGTTAGACTATAAAAGTCCAAGAGAGGTAAATACTTGATCATGGCCGACAGTGGGAAAGCTAAATGATTTTTAAGAAATGATAAAATAGAACTTTATTAATCCTGAAGGACTTTCTAGTCCCAAGTTGTTTCAACATCACAGTACAACAAAGAGCATCAAATCTAAGAAATACAAAACATTTAAAGTATAATAAAGTAATAAGTGTGTAAGGCAAGGCAAGTTTATTTAGAGCGCACATTTCAGCAACAAGACAATTCAGAGTGCTTCACACGAGACATCAGATGCGTCACAACAAAGGGCGGGAAACAGGTAGAAAAAGAAATAAAAAAATCATTCAAGCAAAATCATAGAGAAGAAGCTAAAATAGAATAAAAACGATTATTAAACAATAATGAGTAAAAGTTACAGTGCAGGATTATATAGTTAAAAATCTTACAATACATTTACAAATAATGTTTAAAGGTGCATAATGTAGCTTAGAGGAACTTGAAAGTTGGAGAAGTGTACAGATTGTGTGGTATACGTTCATAACTCTACACAAACTGTCCTCAGAGGAAAAATGTGGTACCTGTAACACTGTTTGAAGATAAAATGCTACGTGAGAAGTTAGGGTGGGGTGCCGTTAAAGTGAAACCGCAACTCTCCTGGTAACTTTTTAGCTCCAAACAGCTTCAAGTGACCCATTTTTTAGTTTAGAATAAAGTTTGTGCATATAGATCAGAAAGTATAGCATAGAATTATTTCACCACCAAAACTCCATAGTGCACCTTTAATGAGGGGCAGCTGTGAACAGGGTAAGGGTTAAATCCAAAGAAATTGTGTTAAAAAAGGATGACTAGAGGTATGATGAGTAGCAGAGTGACAGTTCAGACACAAACCCCGGCTCTCAGGAGTGACAACACCGATACATCCAACTTTGCACCTCAATATCACATGATAAAAAACACAATTCTGCATGATTATAAAGTTGATGCTGCACATTATGGTGTGAGCATTGTGAAAGGAACACTGCATGGAAATGAAAGCTTAATATGGGAAAGTATTTTTGTACATTGATTAACATCTCTCAAATGTAAAAAAAAAAAAAAAAGGGGAACAGTGCTGAAATGTAATTCTCCACATTATATGAAAATGACAACATGATAGCTGATACCTCCTTCAAATACTTCAATAATGAAGAAAAAGTTAAACATCACAGCATCCCACTGGAATTCAAAGTGGAAGCTTTCCAAAGTGGAAGTGGTACTAGTTAGTACAAGTTAAGTACAAGTTCAGTACAATAGTGAAAGTCATCACACTTGTGGGAGATTTCATAACTCACCAGCGTCATCTCCGCGTTGCGTGCTTCTCTACATGTTGAGAAATCCTCTATAACCCTTCACATCATGTCAAAAGGTCACAGAGGGGGTCAAACTGAAACACGACTATGGAGCCATGTGCAGAAAAAACTTCACACACTTCATTTATGCAATATGCATTCCCGATGCACAACAGTAATGTTTAGTCAGCCTCTGGTCTTTATGAAGGCAGATCATTAATGATGAATCTGCAAAGTTGCAGGTGAGGTGAGAGTAATGAGCAGCAAACAAATGTGCCAGATTGAGTCGAATTCAGTGAAGCTTCAAAGTACCTGTGCAAGTCCTTGTGAAGGTGCACTTTAATATTTCCCTCCACTGCAATCACATGACATCAAGTGAGTGTGACTTTGGTTGTGTTGAGTGTCGTCAGTGTTTTCTCTCCTGACCTCTGCAGGGCGATCAGCCGCGAGGCAGCCAGGAAGAGACGACGGGTGGAGTCCGACGTGTTTGGAGAGTTATGTCGCCTGCTGCCTCTCCAGCCGTCCGTCAGAGCTCACCTGGACAAACCGTCCGTCATCCGGCTCACGCTCAGCTACATACGCATACACACACTGCTCAAAGGTACACACACACACACACACGCACACACACTGACGACTCATGACGCAATACAAGTGCAACTTAATTTATCATCCTCAGTCAAAAGATGGGTTTCAAAATCAAACAGAAACTGGCATTAGTTGTGTTCATATATCGATACAGATTCCATTGATCAATACTACTATAGGCTTATCAAATGTATGTGTATCAAATATATTCATATCAATCTTGTGGAATATGTGATCCTGCACACATTAAAACCTGCTGAGGATCAAAATCTATTTATCATGATAAATGTAAGATACGTCTGAGACTTCATCCACAATATCTCAAAAATGATCAGACAATATCTCAGACAGCAACGTGAAGTGTGTGTCTGAATTCAGAGGGTTTTTTTTTTAAATCCATCTGATGACAACATTAAAAACAGATTTCATTTGTAATAATGTGAGTCTGAGGTAGAAATGAAGGAAACAAAATAGCAAACGAATTGAAGAGGAATTTCACATGGTCCTGTTTGGTTTTGTAACAGTGATTTCTCAACTCTGCTTAATTAATAGCTGATCATTTCCTGGACGTCTGTGTGGAGATGTCACATCACTGCAGGTTCTCATCATTTTCACAGAGCGGTTCAACCATTACAGCTATAAAGGGGATTCATTATAGCGCGTCCTAATTGCTGTATATTTCAAACGAGCTCTTGAATGTAGTGAGTACAGCGATAATGTTTCATGACGATTTTCATACGTCAAAGTCCTCTGTATTCTTTCCCTGCGTGTTTGTAGAGTGAAAAAAAGGGGGGCAGTTTGTTGTGGTGAACTGCTGTTACAAAACTGAAAGGCTTCAGACGAGTGTTAGACAGAGGAAGTCTTTGATAACAAAAGACACCTGCAACAGACACACACACCTTGTATAGTATAGAAAGGAAACAAGAACGAACCACAGATTTTGCTCTTTGTTTCCTATTTATTTTTAACCTGTAGAAAATTTGAAACAGAAAAGGTTGTGTTCCCTTTTCTTAAAGCTCCTATCAGAAGCTTTTAACTGGTTATGAAACAGATTAAAATTAGTTTGAAGCCTCTTTTCAAGCTGCAAAAGCAAACAAGGACATTTCAGTAAAGATTGAATATTTCTTGGTTGTTATTTTTAAATGTCTGAAAACCGTTGCTGGTTCCACCGTTGCAGGGGAGGAGTAGGTGTGAATAACAGCATCCTGCAGAAAGCATCCTGCAGAAAAAAAGCTTGTTAGGTGGGAGTTCTTTTTTGTAGTAGATGGACAATGATGAAAACGGAAACAGACCGTGTGGATCATCTGAGGATTTATTCAGCCGTGGTCAGACAACACAGAAAACACAACACACACGGCTGACAAAGTGCAGACCATCGCTGACCCATGCTGACCAAGATCTCACAATCATCGACAATCATGGGCAAAATGGCAAAATGGCAAAGTCTTCATCGCACAGTGTGGCTTATATTCTGCCTATCACTATAAAAGAATAAAGACGACATGACACTGATTTGTATACGTATCAGATGTAGACTCTCTGTCTAGCAAACAGTTGCTGACAACATATGGTTGGCTCCAATCCAAACATAGACCTGCTACAATTTAAATGTTTCACCATATAAGGTTACAGCTTCACAGACCCAAAAGAAGAATTACCCTAAGATGGTTGACACAATTTAAAGATACGTCCACAAAATGATCAAGATGAATGAATCCATGAAAATACGTACTAACAAAGCCCGTTTGTCATTTCCTACGGCAAAGATTCTCGTTAAGCGATGCATTTGACTGTTTGAATAAAGCAAGATGAGTCTTTTTGTTAAAAAAAAAAAAAAAAAAAAAAAAAAAAAAACTTACACATATACAGGACAATCAGCAAAGAGATAAAAAAAAAAAAAGTGCCGCTTTGACCACAGAGGGCGCCAAAATCAACGCAAACCCAAACCCAAAGGGTCCTCTCAGGAGCTTTAAAAAAAAAAAACTCAACTACAACTACTTTGTTTTTTCTGTTCAAGAAAACCCGGGGGTTAAAGCAGAGGGAAGTGACGCAGTGAAACGTGGACGGCTAAACGGTAAAAAGGAGCGGTGGGAGTGTGACGGAGGACGCGACGAAGAGGAGAAGGAGAAAGAAACAGAGGAAGGTGTCAAGACCTTAGAGGAGACGAACATGTACCTGAGGACCCTGGATGGGTTTCTGATGGTTCTGTCCACAGATGGAGACATGATCTTCCTGTCCCACAATGTCAGCAATTACATGGGGTTGACACAGGTACACACACAAACACATACACACACACACACACACACACACACACACACACACATTTGTACATAAACACAATGATAGTGTATTCAGGAGTTTAAGGTGAACGTGTTTTTTATCTTCTCTGACAGACTGAGCTGATGGGGCACAATATTTTCGAGTTTACTCACCCTTGTGATCACGAAGAGATCACAAATAACCTACGCCTAACAACAGGTGTGTGTGTGTGTGTGTGTGTTGTGGGTGTGTGTGGGTGTGAGAGAGAGAGAGAGAGATTGTAGCACCATTGGTTGTACTTGTCTAGTTAAGTCTGGGTTGGTTTTTTGTTTTTCAAAGATCGTGCACAGGTTTATCCATGCAGCTTTCTAAATTATTATTTTTATTTCTAGAGGAGATTTTGTTCGGTGGAAAGAGGGACTTTGTAATGAGGGTAAAAAGCGCTCTGACGCACAGAGGAAGAAGCACCAACCTGAAGTCAGCTACGTGGAAGGTTAGTAAGAAAGAGGACTTGAAACTAAAATTCACACTTTTCTTCGCCCCTCCTGCTGAACGTTCAGGACTTCATGACGCAGAAAAACCATCCTAATACATTATTCTGTTAACTTTATGTCCCCCACTTTCTCTCTCTCTCTCTCTCTCTCTCTCTCTCTCTCTCTGTCCAGGTTCTCCACTGTCAGGGCCAAGCGAAGGTGAGCCTGAACCCGTCTTCTGGTTCCTGCCTGCTGCTGACCTGCCAGCCTCTGCCGCTCTCACACAAACTCCTCAGCACACACACCTTCACCAGTCAGCACAGCATGGACATGAGGTTCACTTTCTGTGACCAGAGGTGATTCACACTTCACACACACTTCACACACATGCATACAAGGGAGATGTCGTTTATTACAGAATACAGACCACCCTGGATGTTTGCTTCAATTTCATATTAGGAGGAGCCTTTTTAAAAAATATTTTGCACTTTAAGAAGTTATGAAATCATAAAGAAAATGTTGTTTCCATACTTTCTTATTCAGCTTATGCTTCTCTGTATTTTGTTCTGCTGGTTCAATGATAAAGAGTCAGTTTGACCTGCCTCCACACATTGTTCATGTACAGTAAATGCTTCAAATCAAATCCCCCTCTTTCTAGTGATGTACATGGAAGGAAAGCGTCTAATGCAACATTAAAGTTGGACTTGTGGAGTATGCATCCGCAAACTCAGAGTTTACTAAAAAGCACATAAAACAAACATAGAAATATGTTTTACTCACCTGGGAAAATGCTTTGTGCCACTTGTTTTGTTTTCTAGAACACAAGAAAATGATCCAAGTAAAAAAAGCTTTGTTATCTCGAGATTCATTTTCCCGATGTCAGCGGAAAATCAGTTTTGCTATCCAGAGAGTTTTCAAGAAAAAGACAGAAATGAATCCACTATCACATGAAAAGCAGAGTTTTTCTCTCAAGACAACTAGAGAAATGAATCAAGATCTCGAGAAAACTACTGAAAGAACTTATTTCAGGAAAATAGAGTATATAAAATGTATGCATGCTTGTCCGCTTAGGGCTTAGAGCTACTAAATCAGAAACAAAAAAAAATCAAACGTTAAATTAGTGTTACAAGGATCACAGAAAAAAATGTAACTGCTCTTTTGTTCCTGTTTTTCCTTCCCCCTTTTTTATTTAATTTAAAACATGTGATTTCATTGTATCAGCAGACCTTAAAAGTGTTTGTGGTTGCTGCTGAATAAGTCAAATTGGCTAAATTGGTTGTCTTTGAAAAGAGCTTACTCTGCACTCAGCCTGTTTCATTCCAAAGTCAAATTCAGACTTTGTGTTTTTACAGAGTACTGTTGCTGTTAGGCTACGCCCCCGAAGAGCTGATGGGCCGCTCCATCTATGAACTGTGTCACACACTGGACGCAGGCTGTCTGACTAAAAATCACATGAACTGTAGGTATTTATGAACACACACACACATAATCACACACCTGTCAATAAGCAGCTTCATGTCTCTCTCTCTCGCTCTCTCTCTCTCCCTGCAGTGTGTATGAAGACTCAGTCCGTCAGCGGGAAGTACAGGATGCTGGTGAGAGGCGGAGGTTACGTCTGGGTGGAGACTCACAGCGCCGTCATCCCCAGCGTCAGACCCTCCAAGTCACGACCTGGTGCCCACCACCCGCTCTGCATCCTCTGTGTTACCTATGTGCTCAGGTAAACGCCACATCTGATTTGAATCTTTCTGCAGACATGATAAACCATCCTTAGAAAGTTTGGTGGCCTTCTCTTGTGAATGGCTGTTCGGTCGATGAGTTCCCCCTAAAAGTCTCAACAACTGTGTATTTAAACGTATTTTACATAATATACAGTATAATAAAAAATACAGCGTACAGCTAAATAAAACTACATAACTCAACATATTTGACAACATACCAGAGGAATTGGTGACTCTAAATTGCACGTATAGGTGTGAATGAGAGTGTGACTGGTTGTCAGCCCTGAGGTTGACTGGCCACCAATCCAGGTTGTTGAGGTGTCTAAACGCTGGATTCAGACCCGCTGCAGTCCGTTGATTGGTTGAAAGAATCCCTTTATGTGTGACAGCGGTAATAAAGGACAAACACAAAACATACCGTGTGAATTTGGAGAAAGCATTTTCAAGACTGTTCTTGATTTTTCCCACTCTTGTCAGCGTGACGCACAGTCCCACGGAACGACCTCGGAGATGCAGTAAGAATCATTGATCTTTGTTTACTGTGTCGCGTTCTTCTTCTTTGTTGAATTTATTTGCGGTCGACGCTGTGTTTCGCTGCTGTGATGTAGGGATGTGTAAGGGTAGGGTTGGCTGTGGAAACGCAAGCAAGATCAGTGTTCACCGTACCGAACCCTGTCGGCTTGATGGAAACGGGGCCTTATTGTTTTCGATATTGTTGATTAGGTGCTGGATTTCTTTGTTTAATAGCGGCTGGTAAAAATGTCTGAACAAAGGTAAATCACTCTTAAAATGTCCTACAAACTAACCTCAGAAAAGCAGTTTTGAGGCCTTTTGTAGACACATTACCTTTATCCACATAATGACATGTGAATAGCTGAATGTTGTATTGTTGTGTGTCTCACAGTGGTGTGGAGGAGCCGTCCCTGCAGCTCTCTGTGGACCAGACTGTCTCCAGATATCTGAGCTGAAACTGGAGTCCAAAAAAACACTGTCTGAAACAAACATCAATCCTCTCTACCTCTGTCTTTTCTTTGATTTGACTTTTATTAAAAAAATGTGATCTTCTTAGATCTAGAAATTGTCTGTCTGTTTGTCATTCATCAACGTTTCTTCATTTCTAACTCGTCAAAAATGTCTACGCCGACCAAACCTCAGGGACATATTGTAGATTTTAAGAACAATTTTCATGAACAAAGTCAAGCAAGTATCACAACGTGGTATTTTAAATGTCTTACTTCACACGCGATCATGTTTGTTTTGCATTATGCTTGCAGCAGCATGACCTCCCTCTGTAAATGAAAGTGGAAGCTGTGAAGGTGTAGACGGTGGTTGACAGACGGTTGATGGGGAGTGGTGAGAGTAGAAAGGCAGTTTGACTTTTCTCTGACCTCTCAGAGCCTGACTTTACGTCCTGTGGGGTTTCCTTCTGAGACACCTGACACGAGGGGTTACATCTGACTGTCAATCCCAGACATGTACAAAACACAACACACACACACACACACACACACACACACACACACACACACACTCTCTCTCTCTCTCTCTCTCTCTCTCTCTCTCTCTCTCTCTCTCTCTCTCTCTCACACACACACACACACACACACACACACACACACACACACACTCTCTCTCTCTCTCTCTCTCTCTCTCTCTCTCTCTCTGTCACACACACACACACACACACTCTCTCACACACACACACACACTCACAGTAAATATAGTTAGATGTGCATAGTGCTGATGAAGAGATGTGAGCAGACGCAAGTCAAAACCACAGCTTCCTGACGAGAGACACTCTACAGGAAAGTTCTCGTGGGAACTTGTTCAACTTTTTACCTCTTGGCCTCTTGACTCTCACACTGACACAAAGGAGAAAATATTTCTAGTTTCACTTCAACGGCCTTATCAAGTCAACAATCATAATGAAATTAGAAGACAATCTAAATGAAAGTCATGCAAAAAAAAAATCTAAACGAAAACAGGCAGTGTTGACCATTTATGAAGCTATCTTTAGAAGAACAGAAACATATTGTCTGCATCTGGATACAAAGGCAGAAATGTGTCTTTGATTTTCACTTGCACGCGTATATGTTTAAAACTCAAGGTAACATATTTAAACGAGGAAGCACATTTAAAACAATTAAACACACTTAAAACACACATCATTTACATAATAAAAATCATTAAATCATTTTGAATAAATAATTCATTTTCTCCCACATGGAGAATTGTTTCCAAACTGTCACTTTCATGGTAAAAAAAAACATTTGGATCAATAGCATTATTTATAACTAGTTAAGAAAAAGAAGCCAAATATGTATTTGAAAACAAAACACTTGTTTCCTTTTGTACATTATTGAAAAATATATCAGTTCTTAAGCTTGTTTTGTTTAAGTGGTTAGTGCACCATGTGGGGAGACTGTGGTCCTCCAGGTGGACCCAGGTTCCAGTCCAACCTGTGGCTCCTTTCCCACATGTCATCTGTCTCTCTCTCTCTGTCTCTCTCTCTCCCATATTTCTGACTCCATCCACTGTCCTGTCTCTAAAACAAAACAAAAAATAGCCCCATCAAAAGAATCTTATTTGATGTTTTAACTCCTCTAACTTCATTAAAAAGGGCAGACATTGACGTTGGCATCATGGCCTCCACTAGAGGGGGCTGTGAGGAGACAAATGGACAAATTCTGCTGACAGTTACAATAAATCATTTTACTGTTTGGTTTTATTCCTGTGTGAAAGTTTCTTTCTTTCTGTGTTGGTTTCTGTGTTTTTTGTGATGCATCAATGAGTCAAGTTTAACCGCAGTTCACTGATTCTCATTTAACCTCATTTTAACCTCTTTTAAAAAGAAGGTCTTGTTAAATTGGGATAATAAATTAAAATGTACCTGCACATGGCACAATATCTTCAAAATATTTAGAAAATTATCATGTCTTTAAAAAGTAGTTTGAACTGAACCTTTATTTACACTTTTCAATTTAATCAAGTCTCAGGTTCATAAACCGTTCAGTTTCACAAAATCAATCAATCAATCAACAATCATTATTTATATCATTCGAAACAAATGTGAGCTCGAGGCGCTTAACAAAAGAGCAGGTACAAGACCCTGCCCGTATTTTTGTTACAAAAGAAAAATGGAACTGGGGAGATTGGATCAGACGCAGGAAGGGTTTCTCTTTTGTATTCCTCACGTTCCTGTTGTCCACATTTCCTTGCCGCTGAAGTGTAGGTCTCATTTGTCACAGACTTAACTGCATATGCATGTTTAGAATACAGGAGAATGTCTGCCCAGGTTGGTGAGAGAGGTGTGTTTGTATTCTCCAGTCATACTGTGCTACAGCATGGAGGGGGGAAAAAGACTCTTGCTCCATCTAGTGTTGAACTGCAGTCAGTGAAACAAAACAAACGGTGGCCATATTTCTTTTGAGCTTTGGACATGGCCTCATACTGTTTAAACAACCTTTAAAGACCTTCGTGTACATTTGGACTAGCAGAATGGGGAAATGTTTTCTTAGCAGATTGGTAATAGATTTGCTTTACCAGATATAAAACCACCTGTAAAAAAAAATGACTCTTTAATTGCAAATCTTTCTGATGCCCAGTGAAAAACAAAATAGTTCAACAAGCAACTCAGGTTTATCAGTAGAGGGCAAGAAGCAGGTCTAAAAAAAAGGTACCTGATCTTAGTTGACTTGAAAACGTTTGAATCCCTAAGAGATCAGTACAGCGTGCCTACCGAGGAGTTCTGAGTCAGGCACTTTACCCTCACTTCTTCTGAGAATACAAACGAAGCATGAACATTTTGAATCAAGGTTTTATTCTGAGGATTTGAGCTTAGACAAACCTGAATCATGAAGAACATCATGGTGTACACCGCTGAAGGTGACGATAGATGAAGACACATGGGGAGAAGTTCTGATGTTGTCCTCCAGGATGTCAAGGTGTAAAAGATATAAGAAGATGCAACGCAATGGCTTCATATTTCTCCACATTCTTATCTTAATTTCACAAACTGTGGAAAACTAAAAATGGGGATAGGACAACAACCGCCTCTCAGCCCACTTTATGCACCACGAGTGAACCCTTTGAGGGGACATCATGTTGTACAGGAAGGCTATAATGATGAAGGGTTGGGAACTGTGGAAATCTCTGATATCTAATGTGGTCAGGAAGTTTTCATCTTTTTAAACCAAAATGAGAGAAACTTCAGAAGCTTCTAAATATGAAGTTCAGTTTGGCATCAAGATAACTGAATGAGCTTCAGGATTGTTTAGTTAATGTACAAGAACACTGTTTATCACGTATGCTGGCTTGATAAATGCAGAGGATGACTCCTGGACCGACTTTGCAATTAGTTTGTTGAAGTGTAAATTACACTCATAATTTGTTCAACAATTTTTAAGTTATTACAATAAATCCAAGTAAATAAAAAGTATGTTTATGCAAGTAAATGGTGACTATACTGACTTTCAGTAAAAACCTCACATCTAAGAGGTTAAATCGTAAAAAAAATAACCTCAAATATTTAATGACTGTCAACATGTGGTAACTCCTTGGATCATAATGTTGTTGTAAATAAAAATCTGATTTGAAAATCTCAAAGAAGAGATTCAAATCAGAGCCTTGAACGAACCCAATCCCACAGAAAACAACGTGTTTGTTGCATTTATAAAAGCATTTATCTTTAACCTGTCTTCATTTCTGGGAGAGCACGTCGGTCCACTCTGCAGGATATTTACATTTCGCAACAGTGCCAATGTTGATAGAGCACTTTGAAGCACTTTATCTTCGGCTTGTTTTGCTGCTGCGGCTGATTTCCTTACAGATGAGAGTGCTTGATCTGTGGTGTTAGATCTGATCTGATCCTCCCCTTTTGTTTTATGTTTTTATGAGTGTTGTAAAGGCTGGATAGGATCTCTCTTGTTATTCTTCTTTAATGTATTAAGTCCTTTATGAATTAGCCACAGACGCAGAGCCTATGGCTGGGCCCTTAAACTGTCTATAGGCTATATAGCATATGTTGTAGCCTATAGTAATATAGTATAGTATTTATGGTTCAGTATCGGCTGTATGGAGATGCAAGACAGGGCGAGACGAAGAGAAATGGTATTACAATGGGTGCTTTTAAAGTGACAGGGACTTTTCATTAAACAGTGAGTGACCTGTTGATATTTAAGCAGCACAAGTGCTGATATGTCTGCGCGCGTATTTGACCAATTATTAAGTAAAGCAGACTTAAAGACGGCAACAACAGTTTGACATTCAGTGAAGTTGGACGCCCATCCAGCCAAATGGACTATATAATAAAATCACACATAATCAACCCACACACGACAACAAATACGATAACCAAGCAGACACGGCGGTCTACAACACATGCAGCCACAAACAAAAGACTCAAGTGTATGATGAAACAACTTACCAATGAAGTTTTCATCATAGACTGTAAATATTACAGTTTTGCAGGTTTTCATCAGCACTGTTGCTTTGGGGTGGAATCAATGACATTACAAACAGGCCACAGCACCCTGCTGGTGCTGTTTGCTGCCGAAGTTGAGAACCCCCTTGGCAGTGGAGGGGGGCCCCTCTCTGCTCTACAAAATACATTGTGTGTCTTGATTGCGGCAAAAGAAAATAGAGACTCAGACCCAGCCAAACCAACTTCATTTGAAAATTCAACTAAATAACAAACTGCATGTTAAATTTGGCTCAAAGTGGACCCCTTGAGACAACAGTGGGCCCGGGGCAGCTGCACCTTCTGCCCCCACACTCGCTCCGCTACTGGTTAGCCATTCCCTTTTTTCCTCTCTTGGTGTTAAGTGAGCTCACTAACACAAACACCAATCAGTCATGTTGATTGGACGACTTCTTGAAGTTTAAATTATCATCTGTTATTAGACACTAGAACGACCAAGGCAGTCATTTTGACTGTTTTTTAATTTTGCAATGTAATAACTTACTTAAAATAAAACCTATGTAACTACAGGACCATGACTTTTCCTAAATGTGTCTATATTTTACTCTAGCATTGTTAATTTATCAAAAACACAAAAGAGTTTTGAGTATTTCTACCTTGAA